AACTGTTGCGGTCTGTGTACCAATGGCAGGAGTAGGGGGCGTTGGGAGACCATCGTCCGGGGAACGTAGTTCCTCGCGTGCTTGTCCTCGCCTTGGCCTTTCTAATAAGTGCGGCCGTTGTGATCCGCTGTGATAGCGACGGGTTTTTTTTGTGGTGGAAGGGGGGTTTTTTTAGGGGTTTTGCCCGGACGCCGGGTTTCCCCTCCATATATTACCATGTTGGTATTTTCTGATGTATCCAGGGGCGTTCTTGCCCAATTGATGGTTAGTCACTTGCGTGAAGAACCAGGGAGGGTGTTCGTGGGTCTGTGAACATTGGTGTTGGATACATGTGCTGGATGATTTGATGTCACGCCGTTTGGTAGGGGGCACCGCGATGGCCCCCCCCTTGCTGTGGGAGCCGCTCTGCCGCTCTTTGAGCACTCCCGCTTTCGTCCGTGTCAAGGACGGTTGCCTACCTCTCGTGAAGTTAATACATCACCAAAAGAGTCTCACCCGATAAATTAGTGACGTAGGCCGCAAACAACTTGTTGATTCCACGCATTAGACCGCCACCGCTACGTGCTAACGACTCGTTACATTGGTTTTATGTTAGTTAGCTGGACCCGCTCCATTCAGGCCTTTAGTCTATAGTGTAGTCTTCATGTGCGTCTACAAAAAGCGGGGCGATTTGGCTGTGGTTGTTGCCTATTTCGTACCATCTTTCTCTCCCCAGTGACCGTGATTCTCGCAGCACGTTCGAGCTGCATGGCGTCACCCGGGCACCAGAAGCGGCAGTCGTAAGTTGTTAGGACGAGGGGTGGGAGACGAGCCACAGCAGCGGAGTCAATCACCAGAGCAGCAGCGAGCAGGCGGAGCATCCTCATGCTTGTACGAACAAACCGCCAAACGACGACGCTTGCAGCTCACGGCACGAGTAGCAGCAACAGGAGTGTGCAGCACAAACGACATATCGCAAAGGCCGCTGCAGGTTGCGGCGTCGTGGGTGGGTGAAAGAGCGGCGGCAGATGTATACGCGTGCGCTGTTTCGAGGGGGGAACATTTTGTTTCGTTTTGGTTTTCAATCCCGTTTTTTGTTCCCTTGACCAATGAATCCAACTCTTTTGGTTTGCAATCCTTGTTTTGAAAGGGAACTGGACACAAGTGGGTATTAGTCTACCCACCCCTTTCTCGGACAAAAGTGGGTACTCGGAAATCCAGCGCGCGCGCACTCCATACGCGGCCCCCAAACGACTCACAACCCCATTCTGACACCTGCGCGACACAGCCAGGGACCATACACAGCACGGGCATCGACTATTTCCCACTTTCAGGCACACCTTTGGCCCTAATACCGTCGAGGCGCGCAGGGCCTCACCAGAGTGCCCACTTCTGTCCGACATCGCGGTGGGTATACCCACCGGCGTCAACTAATTTTTTCATGTACCCACTTATGTCTATATTTTGACCCACCTTTGTCCAAATTGTACCCACT